GATTTTGTTGCTTAGCTATAAGCAATTGTCTTTGATGCTGCTTTACTCTTTATTAAGTTTATTTAGCAAGATGCATACACTCAATGACAAACTGTTTAGTTTTGAATGCCTTTATTAAGTTAATAGCCCATATATGCATATTACGTAATGACCAAAGGGTCAACCAAGGAGACCAGAAAATTGAATATTAATTATAGTTAGCTAAATGACTATTGCACACGACTTTCCGTGTAATCGCATGTGACATTCAGTGTGACTTGTACGTGTGCTATAGTCATAGACCATGCCCGGTCATCATGGACGAATAATTTTCACAATAATTAGATATCTACACTAATCACCTCAACCTGATAATCAGGATCTAAAGACGTTGTAATCACCTGGGGACGGTTGTATTAAAAAAACGGTAGTTCAAGTTGACTGCAGTTAACAGTGTATTTAAAGAGTTAAGAACTATTTAACCACAAAATGGTGGTCCAATGATGCTGAGTCACTATCATCAAACTGGTGATTATAGTTAGCCACATACTATAACAGTGAGAGGGAGTCTCTTTCGTCCGCAGAGGCTTTCAACCCAGGAGGCTGCTCCATTTACTGTTCTAGAATATTTGGAACACTGTTCTGGAACGATATGAAATGGAGTGCACACGGTGTTCTGGAACAGTGTTTAGTTTATTATATATGCGTGCAACCATGCATTACTATATTTATAACATTAGTTATTCGCATTATAAATCGTATAATGATTTGCTGTTATTTGTATATCTAAGTATGCTTTTTCAACGTTTTTACTCGTCGATTTACCCAACCCTGGCGTTCAAATAGCATATAGTAAGTATATGTCGATATATAGCGTTTAACCTTTCAAAAACAACACTCTATATGCAGTGTGCATTGGATACACATAATCAGTCGCCTCCATTTCTATAATCACATGAAGATACTTGAAAATGGGCAGTGTCATGTGTCTGTTCTGGCTGCCCCTACTCGAAAATCTGGGTAGTCAGAACAATTCAGAACAGTCATGTCACTGTTTTCTGTTCCATTCCATTAGTGTTCCGAAAATCTGGAGTACTCCGAACAGTAAATGGAGCAGTTTGCTTGCAAGATGAAAACACGCTAGAGTGTAACGAGCCAGCGGGAGGGAATTGACCATTTGCGTAATAGACTAAATTTTGATCTCAACAAAAATTTCATTACAGCTTGAAAGAGCATCACAAAATTAGTAATATTCCAAAGTTTCGTTGCAAAATGTTGTAAAATGCGGAAAATATAGCCTTGCGAAATTTGCAATTTTCAGTCATTTTAGATTACAAACCGGAAATTGACAGCCTCGAAGGGTTTGAGGCTGTCAATTTCCCGTTTGTAATCTAAAATGACTGAAAATGCAAATTTCACAAGGCTATATTTTCCGCATTTTACAACATTTTGCAACGAAACTTTGGAATATTACTAATTTTGTGATGCTCCTTCAAGCTGTGATGAAATTTTTGTCTAGACTTGTTTAGTTCAAAATTTAGTCTATTACGCAAATGGTCAATTAATTAAAGAATTTCATTAGCGGTCATTGTATTTGGAAAATGCTATTTAGCTTACTGTATCTTAATATATATATATATAAATTTCAGGGGACTGATTACAATTTACATTATATAGTTTTAATCTAAATTCACAATCTGGGTTCAAAGATCTAACTTAATTACGCCCCTCCACAAAACGCTCTGGGCTCCCGAGATTCTGCTGGGCTCCCGAGATTCTGCTGGGCTCCCGAGATTCTGCTGGGCTCCCGAGATTCTGCTGGGCTCCGGAGATGCGATTGGCCTCCCTGATCGGCTCTGCTGGGCTCCGGAGATGCGATTGGCCTCCCTGATCGGAAGACATACACATTGTTATTCAAGTCTGTAAATCACAAGCTGTCGACAAATTGTGTTCGCACAGCTTGTTTCCAGTTGTTGTGACAAGTTTGGAACAAACTGTTAACAACTTGTAACAAGCTTGATGACATCATCAGATTTGTTACAATGTTGTTCTATTCTAACAAGTCTGATACAGTCCGCATGATATAACAAGAATGTTACAAGGTTGATGACACACGGATGTAACTATATTGTCATATCATGACTGTATCGAACTTGTTGGAACAACCTTGCAACAAGTCTGATAATACCAACAAGGTTGCTACAACTGTCAACCGCAAATAGTTCCACACTTGTTGACAACTTGGTACAATCAGTGAGAATGCAACTTGCATGTCAACAGCTTGTTGCCAGACTGGCTACAAGATGTGAGAATTTTTTGCGTGTGTAGATTGTAGAGGGCACTCGAAGACTACACACGTAAAAACGCACAAGTTGTGACAAACCTGCAGCAGACTTGTAGCAATGCTGTTCCAACAACTTGTCAACCGGATGTGTTCGCACCTACTGCGTGTTCCCAGCTTGTCGACAACTTGCTACAAGGTTGTTGAGCTCAACAGACTTGTTACAAGTCGTTGAAACAACTTGTTATCGTCCTGCAATTCAACAACGTGGCACCAAGTTGTGACTGAGAAGACTCACTGAGAACGTTGTAGCACCTTGATAAAATAACAGCATTGTTACAAATTGTTGACAAGCTTGCTGCAAGCCTGTTGCGAACACATCTTGTTGACAAGTTGCGAGATTTTTACGCGTGTACTGTCTTGACTGCCGAGGTTACAGCTTTTCTTGGGATGAAGTCGGAACCGTCACTTTTCCAGTTCACAGGGGAAACCCATACGAATTCCCGAGTGAAGAAATGTAGTCTTAAAAAAATATCGGGCTATTTAGGCACCCTTATTGACTGGCGACATTTATTTCCAATTATGTGATTAAGTAGATTACTGCTGCTGATGCATTAGGCTCGATTACCAGCCGTTCCTTGAGGCAATTCAGGGGAGCTTCCCGAATGCCGGCTGGTAATGGAGCCTACTGATGTATATGATTGAGGAAATGGCTGAAGCCCAGGGTGTTAGCCAGGCGGCCGTCCGACCGTCCTACGGACGGCCACTTCTGAATTCGGACGGCTAAATTTTAATGGACGGCCTAAGGGAATATTTTCTTTAAATAGCAATTTACAAGCTTGGTAATATTTCTTGAATACTTCGAATTGTTGTCATCTGCTGTTTACTTTACTTATGGCATGTTTTTTATATTTTTCCCGTCGAAAACACGTTGAATATGGCTGAATGTATCGACAAACGCTATCGCTCGAGCGCCACGTGCTTTAGAGTTATACTTACGGTAAAGGTGGCTACAAAATGAGCCAAACGCATAAAAAAGGGGAAAAATATCGGTGATTGATAAAAATAACTAAACACTACACTGCTGTATTGCATTCTTCATTATAACATATACTGTACATCGTAGTGATCATACGGTTCATACCATACGTGTGCTTTTACTAATTTAATAACGGAAATGTGCATCTAAAACTAAAAAGGTTCAACGAATAGAACACCACAATTCCACAACAACGAAAAATTGCGGCCACGCCCAAAAACATGTGGCCACGCCCACAAAATTATTTTGGACGGCCACTTTCGAAATCCTGGCTAAAACCCTGCTGAAGCCCCAGTCAAACGCCGGTGAAGTCGAGAGTTGTGACAGTTGGCAGTCCTGAACAGTAGTTATTGGGGACATTTTGGCTAACAAAATAAAGATTTGACGAGTGTTTCAACTATGTTTTAACTAAAAGAATACATGATAGTGTTGGGAAAGCATTAAGCCTGGTTTCCCCATGGTCGTAACGGTCGTAAAGATTGAGTCACGATCTTTCTCATCAACCGAAATACAACATTTTACTGACAACTGAAAATACGCGGAGTGATTATAGCTATAGAGAATACTTATGATTTACATGTGGTTTACAGGTATAAACTATTATAAACTGGCCGTTGAGAAAGATCGTGACTGTATTTTTACGACCATATGGAAACAAGGCTTTAAGAACAGTTAACCAAGATCGCGTGACTGCCAACTCAGGCCGACACACGCCAACTGAAAAATCGCCCCGCGTTGTCGAATCGCGTCCGGTCAGGGCCGTCCTCAGGGAATTCTGCAGGGGGGTGTAAGGTCCTTTCAACCGACCAGAGCCGAAAAATTATTTTCTGGAACAAATTATTTTTGGCGACCTCCCCCCCCCCCCCCCCCCGTTGCCAAAAAAATTTCGGTCGGTGTACCATTTTAGGGGTCCAAAAATTTTTCCGCACATACCAAAATTTTTCGGAACATCAAACAAATTTTCCAGACATCACAAATTTTCTACATTTATCCCAAAAATTTTTCTAAAATTCCGACCCCTATCTTGCCCTTTGCGCGAAAATATTTAACCCAAATAGCAGTCCTACCGACTGAATAGCAGTCCTGCCGACTGAATACAATTTCTGGGGGGGGGTGTCACACCCCCACATCCCCCCGTAGCTCCGGGCCTGCGCCCGGTGTGTCTCGGCCTATCATAGTTTAGCGTTCTATAGCGATGTAGTTTCACTCGACCTTCGAACACCAATTGTTTTGTTGAAATGTTTCAACATGTAAACGAAACGTTTTGCTGTCACGCGTTGTATGTTGTCTAGGGCTTTGGGAATGTTGACAAAGCGCTGTCAGGCGTTTGGAGGGGATGTGTTTATTGTAGTTAGCGTAAAAAGTAAATAAAGTTCAATTAACAAAATTTTGTTTGACAAGCAGTGTGCATGAGGAATACAAACAAACTTTATTTAAAATAAACAGAGCTATCAATACTAGTACATAGAATACAAAACATTTAAATACACAGGAAGACTATGCAGTAGACTAAAATTAGAATACTAGTTTACTTATAATTGGATTACTAGTTCACTAATATAGTTATATTGATGAAATTATATTGAATGGAGGATGTTCACAAACTGTTTATTTTCAGAGTACTAAGTGGCATTTTGATGACAACGCCTTACCACTTACATTCCGCTAATTGAACTTTATTTACTTTTCACGCTAACTACAATAACAGCAACCTCGTACCCAGGGCTTCTGCGCTTATTGCTCTCAATAAGCGCAGAAGCCCTGGGTACGAGGTTGCAATAACAGCATCGCGCACAGCCTCGTCCCCAGGCGCTTTGATTTGCACCCGTCCACTGCCTGCGTCGCGCCACAAACCCGCGCGTCTGAGTTGGAGCCTGGGGACGAGGCTGCATCGCGCATATGTCCAATGTAACCACCTCCGCAGGCATCTCACCCGTGGAATCGGGTGGTCGCAAAAAGTCCAATGTCCAACACGCCATTTCGGGATTCACGACGCCATCTTGCTAAGTGAAGTGAAAACAATGGAATTCCTAGTAATTCCCTGTAGGTCATTTGCAAGCGGGGCAACCAAGTCTCCCCATTATACAAAGTGCATCATTGTACAAAGTGCATCTGGAATTTTTGCACAAAAGTTACGCAACTGCCGAGCAACGGCAATAATAACGTTTCAAGATGAAGTAATTTAACTCGTAAACGACATTGGTGACCCCCAAATTTTATTTTAAAAAATTATTTCTCTTGGTATAGTCAATTATTTTGACAATTTAAAAAAAAATTATGTGGAGCCGAAATTTTTTAAATTACGTGAAGGTGAAAATTCCGCCTAGTGGAAAACCGCCTTGAATCACTCATGTGCAACAATCCGTTTTTCGCAGAAACAATTTCTCGCGAAGAGTTTCGTCGTCGTGGAATCAGGCCTTAGCAGATTATACAAAGCGCATCACTACACAAAGTGCATCTGGAATAGTTTTGCACAAAAGTTACGCAACTGCCGAGCAACGGCAATAATAACGTTTCAAGATGAAGTAATTTAACTCGTAAACGACATTGGTGACCCCCAAATTTTATTTAAAAAAATTATTTCTCTTGGTATAGTCAATTATTTTGACAATTTAAAAAAAAATTATGTGGAGTCGAAATTTTTTAAATTACGTGAAGGTGATTTTTTTTAAATTACGTGAAGTTTTTTAAATTGTCAAAATATTTGGGGGTCACCGATGTCGTTTACGAGTTAAATACTCGTTAGATGTTGTTTTATATACGTAAGGCACTTTTTGTTCATCAACAAGTAATAATTGTCCAAAAATACGCATCTAAATCGAGCGGAATTTTCCATTTTTTAAAACTGTATTGAGCCACGTACCTTAAGGCTAATTTCCACTCAGGAAAATTATCCGTGGATTGGAACGGACAGGAAAATTTTTCTTTGTGTTAAAGTCATTAGTTCCAACCCAGAGCGCTCACAAGAGAAAGAAAAATTTTCTTGTCCTTTCCAATCCACGGATAATTTTCCTGAGTGGAAATTAGCCTTTAAACGGTTATCGTTCCATGTTTCGCGCACCAATATAGGTTAGGGTTAGGGGTTAGGGTGTGTATATATGTTCAGTTATGGAGGTACCAGTTGACTTTGCAGTACACTATAAGACTATAATATCCATTACATAACGTTTGTTACATTGGTGCGCGAAACATGGAACGATTAAGGTCCAAACACACCGGACGCGATTCGACAACGCGTCGCGTTGAACCCGGTTCACATTCACAATTCCGGATTTTTCTCCCCCTGGCATGAAATGTGATTGAATGAATGACATGTAAAAGACTTAGAATTGTTTACTTCTGAAAAGAGACTCTATACTCTTGTGTGCGTGTTCACTCATTTACATCCGTCAGAAACACAAAATCGCCGACAAAATCAGGCTATAAATTATACCCAGGGTTAAGTTAACCGGCTTTTGAACAACCGCCCTAAATAATTATCGGGCTATTTAGACCCATTTTGACTGTTGGTATTATTTACACTTTTTTCCTCTTGCAACATACGTGATTGTGCAATATATTCCTGCGATTACTTAGGAATGTAGTGGAACAATTGTCGGAATGATACATCGCCGAGTACTGTATTCGTTAGCCATTTACTCAATCACATCCCGCTTAGCAGTAGTAAAATCACACTAAAATCCGCCATTGTCAGCCTATCGTTGTTTTGAGTCGGCCATGCATTTAGCGTGGTAGCAATGTACTTATATAAGCACATATGTGTACACATTAGTACGTCGATAAATCTATCTATATAATTATATTATTACAAAGTCAATGAACAACAAAGACAAAATCAATTGAAAATATTGCGCCATACCTTGTTCACAAGACAAATACTTATAGAATCAAATACCAATATGGATGAAACTTTCAGTTAATGTTAGAAATAGTTGATTACGTTTTGTATGCACTCGAGTTCTGACGAGTCCTGCTTCACATGGCCAATAATACAACGCAACGTGATTGAAGAGGTCGCCGGTGTGTGGGTGTTATGCAATCCACTCAAGGTATTAATTATTCATGCTATATGGAAAAAATGAGATGCAAGAATTAGACTTGTGGGTGGTTTATTCATTTGAATACATTCAAAAGAAATGTTGCGTTATTAATTATAGGTTCAGATTTGGTTAGTGAAATGAATATATTCTGGAACGCTAACCTTGACGCGTGTCTGGCGGTCAAGGCTCGCGGGATTACGCCTCGCGATTCTCTCGCGAGACCAGTTCATGGAGCGAGCATGCTCTTTCAATAATCAGTTATTAGGAAAAAATAAGAAAATCTAAAAGTAAAGTCTACACAAGTAAAAACGCACAAGTTGTTACAGGTCTGCAAACAAGTTGTTACAAATCTGTTCACAAGCTGTCAACAAGTTGTGTTCGCACTGCTTATTCCAAGTTGTTGTAACAAGCTGTTAACAACTTGTAACAAGCTTGATGGCATTATCAGACTTGTTACAAGGTTGTTCTGACAAGTCTGATACAGTCATGATATAACAAGAATGTTACTATAGGTTGACGACACAAGGTTGTAACAATATTGTTATATCATGACTGTATCTGACTTGTTGGAACAACCTTGCAACAAGACTGAGAATATCAACAGGGTTGTTACAAGTTGTTAACAGTTTGTTCCAAACTTGTTAACACTTTGGGACAAGCAGTGCAAAGACAACTTGTTGGCAGACTTGCTAAAAGTTGTGAGACTTTTGCGTGTGTACTAAGAGGTGTTACCTGGTCGCGCTCTTCGCATGCGCGACGTTTTGGCCTCAAATTTCCGGTTGGAGCTGGCATTCCAGTTACACTTATTTCACTGGATTCGACTACCGGAGCCCCAGTTGATTTGGACACCGAAATAATAAAATATATTCATTCATACATACATGGGCGAATAACTAATTTTTCCTCTTTATATAGCTCAATTAATTCTAAAATAACCAGTTGGCAGGCCAGATGCGATAAATCAGGTCACAAAAATGTTTCCTGAATCCTGACCATAAACGATCGTTTGATACTTATTTAACTAGCTGTTGCTGGAATCAAACTAAACTAATTCAACTTTGGAATATTATTTAGGATGTTTATCAAAGACAAAGCCGGGATAACAGCTTTATTTAAACGAATCATCCCAGGTTAACCGGGCCAGCCAGGCTCCATATGAGTTTGGGAGTTTCAACTAATTCTATAGCAAGCATTATTAGGATCAATCCTTAATTTAAATCGGTGATGGACCGCAGAGGTGACATGTGTGTTCAACTAATTAAAGATATATCAGGCCCGGAACACAAATTTATTATCTTTTGCGAAACAAAATCTCCCAAATAAAGCAACGCCAATGAAAATCTGAACGTTTAAACAAAGCCCAATTGATACAATTTAAGATTAATTAAAGTTTACATAATGTATCCTTAATACCTGCATGTAATCCTAATTAAACTTTTACATTTTACCTCGCATTGTACCATAGTCCATAGGCATAGCTAAATCGATACAACTGTTGTAATGTAAACTGCACTGTAATTTTGCTAGTTACTAGCTATCTGAATTATCTGCTTACGTAAGTGAGATTTACGATTGTATGTATAATAACGTAAAAAATCACTAGGTTTCCATTATTATAGATATAGTGAAATGTTTATATTAGAGGCAGTTGCGCCTTTGAACGACTTACCATACAGAGACGTTTGTATGCAGACGACGGATCTTTGGTTGAGGGGGGCAAATAAAGAGGAAAATTAGTGATTCGGGTTTTTGATCAGCACAATAGGATTTTTATGCTGCGTCATGCCAGCAAAGTATATATGACAAAGTGCATCTTGAAAGTGCCAAACATCAATGAATAACAAATTTTTCCCGACTTGATTTATTCTAACTTATCTTTCAACGTGCTAGAAGATATATATTGTCTGTCTTTACCTTTGTGTAAAGACAACGCAAATTCTCCAGAAGATGACTACAAGATCGTTTAAATTAACTTTATACTCTTACTGGAATCAAGCCAAAGTTAATTAATTTCAACTATGAAATGTCATTTTGGATGTTTACAAAAACCATCATAATTAATTAAAATCCTTTATTTGGCTACATATACGAACCAGGGACGTGCTGGCTATAGGGACGAGAACTTGTTGTGGGCCCCTGCCATCATGGGCCCCTAAAATTAAAACATTGGAAAAGATAAAAAAATATAGATTTTAATTTCGAAAATCAAGCCATTAAGATATTGCAATTTATATTTTAAAAATCTAAATTTACGAAAATATTACCGAAAAATTTAACGAATTACGGTACATTAATTCGAAAGTTACTGAAAAATGGTATGTCCGGAATTAGCAACTGAAATGTTTCATGCTTGATCCGTAATACCCCCACCCCAATCTTGATCTATCACTGGGCCTGGGCCCCATCTGACGTTGCTCATTCATCGTCCTTTTCAAGACCCCAGCATGTCCCTGATATGAACAGCAACTTAGCATATATCATAATTGGGCTGATGGAATGGGAGTGATGAATGTTGTTTTAACTCATAGTTGAATAACATAGCTGAATGAATACTTTATATGGGTCTTATATATGCCTTGCGTCTGCTGCCATACCAGCTCAGGTACACAGCCATGGTCATAGGTGTAGGAGAGAGGGGCTACGGGGAGGTGCAATCCCCCCCCCCAACAATATTTTGGTCAGGCAGTTTGTACTTAAAAATCGGCTAATTTATTAAAGGAAATCTGAGTGGTGTGCATGA